AGAGAGAGAGAGAGAGGGAGAGAGAGAGAGAGAGAATGAGAGAGAGAGAGAGAGAGAGAGAGATAGAGAGAGAGAGGGAGAGAGAGAGTAACATTTCATTTCAAGAATGTTGAAAAATTTATTTCATCAATATAATGTATGCTAGCTTCTTTGTATTATTGGATTGTTTAGTGATTATTTGTATTGGGAATTTGTGCAAAGGTGATTGTGTGGGAGTGATAAGCCATATCAGAAAGTCCCCGCTGCCATATTGAGATCAGATAAGAGGGGTATAAACTGCCCTTTTATAACATGGGTAGGATAGGACTATTCTAGGTTTTTGCTCTGTAATTGCTCCCAGGGGGTTGTCCTAGATTATATGTGGTCATTAATTACATACTTCAGTCAAGATCAAGTAGAAGCAGAGATAAAAGCAAACATCGGGATGATGACAGCAAAAGAAGAGAGCGAAAAAAAGATCAAGCTGAAGTATGGAAGTGATGAAAACACAAATTCCTATTTTTAATAATTATATTTATTAATTGTGTTGTGATACAGTAAAAAACAATTATTGCATAAAAATGTGGTAATTATGCATAAATGATTGTTTTGGACATCTTTGGCATTTAAAGATATCTAACACATTTTGAGATTATACGAAATATATAAACCTGATCTATATAAGATATAAAACATGTGATTATGATTTTATCTTACTATAGAGCAACCACACGGAACCTTTGCTGATGCGTAGCAGAACTTTTGAAATTGAGAAAGAAGAAACTGGTGAAAGCAGTGGTAAAGAGGCTAAAACTGAAGAGAAGACAAAAAAGAGAAGGGATGGTGACGAAGGCAAGGACTTCAACAAAGAGAGGAAGGAAAGAGACAGGGAAAAGAGACATAGGAATGAAACGGAAGAAGAACGAAGAATTAGACATGAAAAGAGAAAGGAAAGTCGAAGAGAAGAGAAAGAGGATGAGGAAAACAGAAAACGGTAAATATAATGAGATACGTGCCTAAATTATAACAACTGCATGTATACTGGGAACAATAACTTCTTTATTACTTTGCTGTATTATTATGCTTGCTATTTTGCATTACAATGCAATTTCATTAGAAATTTAAATGATATATAGTAATGTAATAATTTTCTGTCTGTCTTTAGAAAGGAAGAAGAACTGGAGAAAGCAAATCTAGTCAAGACACTGGCTGAGAAAGTTGCAGCAGGAAAACAGGAAGAAGATGATGAGGAAAATGGCTACGATCAATATGAAGACGACTTTGAAGTGAGTTCTACTAAACACTTGCTAAACTTGCACTTTGGAATCAGTACTTATAGTAATTTGATTTGTTGATGCTTACTGAATCGGTTTATGTTTTTTTCTTCTTGGGTTCATTGCAGGATTACGATGATGATTTTGAGCAGGATGATGATGAAGAGGAAGAGGATGAGAGTGACCCAGATGAAACAGCAGAGTCGTCTGTGCCAAGCAGCATTGCTCAACGAGTGGTGAGATATTTTACTTCACATATGTTAAGATGAGCAGATAATGTGAGAATGGTCTATACACTCCTCTATTAATGAAATCATTGCTTCTGTTCAGTTGCAGAAAAGTGGCAGTGCAAAGAGCAGTGCTAGCAATAGCAGTATTCAGCAAGGAATGGAGGATGACTACAGATCTAGAGTTACACAGAATTCGCCGAAGACGAACGAGGTTGCTACATTTAGTTGTGAAGTCAATGTCACGTTTACATGAAATTTCTGACAAAAATACTTAAACACGTTGTGGATTACATAACCGAACGGTCACGATTTTATTAATTATTATTATTACCTTGGTAAATACTGATGAAACTATCATTTGAACTCGAGTTTTTGCTGCTTATTTTCGTTTGGTTTGCATCTTTTGAATGTGCCGTCTTATTATGATTATTATTAAATCTTTATGCAGGGTTCGTAGCGGGTCTTCCAAAGGCTTATAAGTACTTATTTTGCCAAAAATAAAATAAGGGCCCTTATTAGTACTTATTTTTGGTAAAATCTTAGAAAAGTAATAATAGTCCTTATTTTTTGCCAAAGGACCATTTTTATAAGCTGGAATAATTAAATCTGCTGTGCAAATGTGTATATTAATATTATTAGTGTACTATAATAGTCGGTGATCTATCAGAAATCGCGTAAAAAAGTCTTATTTTGGCCTCCAGAAAGGGTCTTATAAGTCCTTATTTCAACAGGTGTCTTACTACTATGAACTCTGTTATTGCATGTAATTTAAATTCAAATTACAAAAAATCTCGTGGTTTCAGTCGGATGGCAACAGACCCACGTCCAAGAGAATGTTCATCAACTTCTCCTCAGCTAAGCAGAGAGAAATGAGCAAGCGCATGGCCAACAAGCAGTGGCAGAGAGCCATGGAGCTCAGCAAACTCATCGAGATGGACTTTGTTGCATACAACATCTTCGAGATGCCTCCCATTAAGGAGTATGACATGTACATGAGGACATTCGGTAGCATGGACACAAAGCAGGTACCACTGAACTGTTACCCTACTGTTAGCCTGGTGATTGCATGTAGATTACTGGAATTCGATGTTTTCCTGAGAACTTCCAATGTCTTCTGTATTTGCACTAATATGGAACTATAATGACTCATAATAATAAGCCATTGTTTTCAATTAAATGAGAATCAAATGAAAATGAATAGCATTCATCTAGTTTTTATTTAGAAGGTTTACTGTAGTTATTTATTAATTACAGGCATATGTTCAATCTGAAGAAATTGCTACAGAGGTAGAGACACAGACCGAGGAAATAGATGTAATAGAGCGATGGACGCAGCACCCAGCAGATGGCGTTGTGAGCAGTGGCACTAGCAACACTGCTAATGATGATATCAGGCTACAGGCAAAACAGGAACCATATGATGCTATCGGACTGGGAAGGTTTTTGCAGAATGTTGTCGGGGTAAGTGAAAATCTATAAATGAGTTTATGATTACAGGGCTTTTTTACAATAGGAAGCCATTATTGTTAAGATGAGCAATAAATTCTCTTATTGGGAAAAATAATTTCGAGTAAGAATCACGCTTTCAGGAACACAATAAGCAAATCTAATATGATGTCAGCAATACTTGGCATGGTATTCATTCATCATGTCTGCTCTATTTTGTCACAGGTTGTTAGTATTCTGCTGGATGAAAATTTTCATGATGAGTCCAGCTCTGCTGTAGTCCAGTCCAACTTGAGCTTTAGTGAGAAGTCGATTGTAATGGCACAACTGCCAATTTTAAAAGGTAATGAATGATGATACAGGGTACTTATATGAAAGGAATCTAACATGTGTGAGCAGTTGAGATCAAGAGCTAATAGTACATGCATTATTATAGACTCTTGTTGAGATGTAACTAAATAAATATGCATGTATGTGTGGTAATACTATGGCTCATAGGGTCTATGTCCTCCTGACCTCTGTTTGACCTGGCTCGTTTAGCTATTTCTGAATAACCCTAACCCTAACCCTAACCCTAACCCTAACCCTAAGCCTATATATATCATATGTATATAATATATATATACTATATAATATATATATATATGATAAGATAAGTTAGTCAGAAATAGCTAATCGAGCCAGGTCAAACAGAGGTCAGGGGGACATAGACCTTATCTGCAATACTATGGACTGGTATACTATGGTAATTCGAGCGATAGATTCTACTTGCAGTTCTTTGTAATCTGGTTTTTATTGTCACATTCATGATCCCATCTATACAGAGAATGAAATACTCGTGTATGTAATGCTAGAGAAGCAACTGAACCCATGAAATGAACCATGATGAATTTGTCGTGTCGGTTGTACATAAGCAATTGAAAAGGTGATGGCGGTAAGAGTTATTATAATGACATATTAATTTACAGGTCTGAGTATCGTGCACTGCACATTCTCCACCATGCAGAGCAACTTGTTTCTGACGACACACAGCTCTGCAGGCGTGGATGCAGAGACCACTGCACCTGGGTTTGTGTGTGTGTGGAACGTAGCTGAGCCCAGCATGCCATACAGGTTGCTGGCTTGTAAGGCGCCACCCCTGTGCTCCTGTTTCAGCCCATATAAAGCCAACATGGTGTTTGTGGGTTTGGTAAGTTCGGCATGAGTCATGGCCAACTCAGCTAGGCCTCAGAGTATGCCTTTTAATGGGACAAATAGGGCAATAGAGGGCGTGGGGAGTACCTTTGTCCCCCCCTACAGAAAATTTCCTGCGTATTTGCCCCCCTACAGAAAATTTTCTGCGTACGGCCTTGAGTCTAGCATATTGAACAATAACAATGAGCATTATCTTAGAGGCCTTAACATTAATAGTAAGATAGTACTTAAAACATTTGAGTTTTCATTTTCATTTTGTCATAGGTTAGTCATGTGGACATTTCACTCTTGAATGTGTTGTTATTTCAGATCGATGGCTCACTGGTCGTATATGATCTCGATGAACCTTCTTCAATGCATACAAACAGTCGGCTTGCAGAAAACAGTTTACCGATTAGACATTCCACATACACCACTGGTATATGTTTCTCCAAAGCAAATTGTTATTTAACTAATTCCTTTTATTCCACATGCCATAATATGACCACACACACTGTGTGCATATATAAGATTTCTTTAATCTCCAGCTTATTCAAATGGATTGAATCTTGAAATTCATTATTTAAAATACAAATTTTGCAGGAAGTTGTCGATGAATAGGATTGATGATTAAGAGTGCATAGTTACATTCATTGCGATTAATTTTACATAATAACGATTTACCCAAAACTAAAAACGCAGCAAATATGGTGTGTAGTTTCATGTCATAGGTGATTGCAGAAAATGGCGCTATTTATGTCCATGTCACTGTCCTCTAATGCCATTGCAGCGGCCTTGGAAGACGACAGCCATCACAGTAGTGTGAGAGCATTGCTAGCTGTCACTTCACCTTCGGAAAGGTGCGTCTGTAGGATTTCATCTTACATGAGAACACGAGTAGTGACAGACAGTTTTACTAGAACCATTGCACGACACTTGTGCATAACATTGATTTTTTTATAGACTGGAGAAGACTTTATAGGTCATAATACCTAGTAAATGCAGAAAGAATTCCATTTAAAATATATATCAGGCTAAATCAACATTTTATGCAGTGGTTATGGTTGCATAAATTGCAGTAATTGCCCTGTAACATATTCATATAAATAAATTTGATTGAAATATACTGAATTGAAATCAGAGACCCAAACTATTTATTTGGCTAAATAGTTGGCAATATCATATGATTGTATTTGTATCAGGAGTGTATAATATACTATAATAATAGCTACTAATAATACTAATAATACTAATAATAATAGTATAATAATATCTATCTTATACACTCCTGATTGTGTCGGTCAGCTTGGCAGATTCCGAAGCGGATTTGCGAGCAGGACTGTCCTACCAGCTCGCTTCGCTCGAGGAACATGGGGTCCTGTGTCTCTGGGTGGTGGTGGAGCTACAGAGGAGCACACTGCTCGACTTTGACCCGGGCCGTTCTCCCGGAGGTCGCGTGAAACTCGTGAAAAGCTCTGTGATAAACCTGCTAAGCCTTCTTAGGTATGTTGCCGTATATGTACACATGCAACGTTGTTGGTGTCGCATACAAACTTGCTGGTGTTGCATGCAACATCGCTGGTGTAGCATGCAACGTTGCTGGTGTAGCATGCAACGTTGCTGGTGTTGCACGCAACATTTGCTGGTGCAACCAGCATGAAACTCGTGTAACATACGGTGCAAGGAATTGATGTGATGTGTCAGTTCTTAATATTCTGACGTTAGTTTCAGTAATTTTCGACTTGGCAGCAATATACTGTTTGAATTGCAAATGTTTTCAATGTATTTCTAGATGTATGTTTGTTGTGGCTTGGACGTTGAATGCGATTATTGTTTTTGTGTATAGTGAACTTGGGCACCCTGCTGGGTAAGGATGTGTGAATTGATCTTTTAAACTCTTTCACTCAAATTCTCTAGTATTGCCTGATCTACAGAGACTTTGACTGTGTAACCATTAATTTCTTTGTAGCACATTTTTTTTGCAATACAGTCCGACCTCCTTTATACGGACATCCCTTATCCGGAAATCTCTATGAACCGGCCGCGATTTCGCAGTGTATGTTCTCTGTTTTTCATTTATTTCCACCTAAAAATCTCGCTCAAAACTTGCTCAAAGCTTGCTCAAAACTTGCGCAATGTACCAACCGTACGTGTGTTTGCGTGTGTGTGCACATGCACGCGCGCGTGTGTGTGTGTGTGTGTGTGTTGTCCGCTCGTGTCCGCTATGCCTCCGGTAAAATTTCTGTTTTATTTTATTTTATTTCCATTTCATATAAACCATAAAACACGACAGTTTGTTACAAATAATCATAGCAACGAGTAAATACATTATCACATGCATAAACCCTACTGAACAGCATATAAATGCTGTGTTTGAGCATAACTCTCATATCCGGCCAAATCCCATATCCGGATGGGTGCCGGTCCCGACGTGGCCGGATAGAGGAGGTCGGACTGTATATGTATTAGTTATCGCAGGCACTACGGTCCAAACTCTACGGTACAACGCTGACTGCCACCACCGCGGCAGTCTCATTTGCCCAATGCTACTGCGCTTTACACGCAGCGCCCACTCATGCGCACGACGTGCTGGGGTAATTTCAGACCGGTGCAATCTCAGACCGTGACACCGGCGTTACGTAATTTAGTTTGGCAAATAAGCTGAGCATGTGGGGCAGTAACACTAGTAGCCGTATCAGATCAAGGGGCTACAACACAAGTAGAGATTGTTGTTGTTGTTATTCATTA